AGTACAGGCTTTACCAAAATTTCAACTTATGTTGAGGCTACGTCTGCGGCAACCGATTGATCTAGGTTTAAGTGTTTGTATTACTCCTAAAATGATTTTAACCGTTACCAAAAGCTACCCATGAACAAGTAAGAAGAACTAAATCTAAAAAGTCGGAAATCCTGTCATCTCATAGGCGTAAAGAAGGCCTAAAGAAAAAGGGAGGAAAAAGAAAAGTTTTTGGTGATTCTGGGCAAAATACAGAAATCCAGAAGAAGAAAAAGTTGACAATGAAAAAGACAATACGATTTGTCCCGGATGTTCCGAGCATTATTCTACATCCGATTGGATTAAGTGTCACTTGTGTCAAACATGGTGGCATGATGACTGCTCTAATTATCTAGGAAATGGCCTATTTTCTTGTGACTTATGCCTACATTTAAAAGAATAAGTTTAGGTACAGCCAATTGGGCGATATATCTTACCGCGTACTCTTTGGTTTACATGCGTACTCTTTAGGACACAATTGAGTACTCTTAAGGAACCTGTATCCTAAGAGTACGCATTTTATTGTTTTTGTTTAAACTTTTATATTTTCGTTAAATGTTAAAATGTATGGCAAAATTTGTCTTTTAAGTTTAGATTAGTATGTAAGCTAAAATATTTTGAATAAAAATTTCAACTTAAAGCATTTCAATTATGTTTAAACAAAGTAAATTGGTTAAGTGCGTACTCTTGTGCGATCCTACCCTACCCTCTTTTCCAAATATCATAATCCAAACGCAAAATTTTTAATTTAAGAAGCAGGCAAGGATAAGCGTAGAGACAGACGTACAAGCAGGCCAACTGAATAATAATAATCATAAATCGTCTTTACTTAGGGTGAAGCTTAGCTTGTAGCTATTCTGCCAAAAAACAACAACAAAGATAAATTAATCTCAAAAAAAGGGTGACTTTGAAGTTGAGTCATTAATTTTCAGATAATGATTGTAGAAGGAAGATAAACCAAAATATGTGTGTAAAAATAAAAAAAATTAAAAAAAAATGTTACCTTGTTTTATAAAGTATCCTCCGACAAGTATTTCAGTGCGGCCCTGTATTTGATCGTGCGGTCTTGGAGCACCGGCATGCCCTCCCCTGTGAGGTCTTAAGTCACCTGATTCACGAGCCCTTTGTACTACATTAACAAAGGCACGAGGGGTTGGTTGCACTCGATTGGGAAACCGATCCGCATAAATTTGTGATGCCGCGTAAATAAGAATCATGTCCACAAGTTCAGCATTTTCGTAAACATGTGCCATTTTTGATTTCGTTTGAGCCACGCAACAGACACCACTATTCACTTACGCGTTACCGACTGACACTGACTGTATACAACTGAATAAAATAATTGTAAAAACATCGTTCCAAATTCTTTCGCTTTTTTGTTTCCGATGCGATGAACCGATAAGGCGGATTATATCCGTTGTTGCCAAACACGAGCACATAATGTTATTATTGAGACAGGGCGGTACTCAAACTTCCAAAGGGCTATAACTTTGTTACTTTAATTTTACCAGAAAAATGGTAAAGGAAAAAGACATTTCTTTTGATCAGATCTACTCACTGTTAAAATAAATGACTCAACTTCGAAGTCACCCTGTATAATGTGTCAATTATAGTACAGTAGTACGAGATAGTGGTATTGTATAAATATTACATACATAAATCCACCCATCATATCAAAAGTATATTTTAAAGCACCTGCATAATGTTCATAATTTAGTGAAATGAGGTGCCTTTAAATTGGTTGTTCAAATATATATTTCTTAACTTGTTTTCCGAAATCGTTGAAGTTCAGAAACCTCGTACGGAGTGGTAATAGCATTATGAATAAAGCACGAACTTGTGAAGAAGCATGGTTGACCTATTCACAAAACGAATATTTCTTGAGTGGATAGACCCACGAAATACGAGCTTGTCTTTTAAAAATGGAGAAAATGATGTGGTTAGAACTCCGTGCACAAAACATAATAAATGAACATTTAACCAAATCAGTGAGGCTCTAGTCTTTAAATTGATCGAATATGCCTTTGAGCCATTTTTCGATATTTTGTACCAACATTGGCCATTTTCATAATACTGGAAGACAGGCTAAATGATACCTATGGAGGCATATGACTTTTTAAAATGTCAGGGTCTTATGATGAACAGTTCGGTCTGAGACGCGTTTGAATTTGAAGGTTCGAAGAAATGTAGAAATTTGCCTTTTTGACAAGTTTTCTATTTTCTCGCTACTCCTGTCACCGAAAAGCATTTAAAATTAAATGATTATTCCAAAATAAAATTGTATAATGAATTTAAAAATGACTTTCAAGTTGAAATATTTCAGTGAAAGTGATTTCTTGAATTTATTGTTTTATTTGGTTAGACGAACACCTTACGAAACTATAAATCCATTGTATTGTTTTTCTAATAAATGAGACCATATTTTTTGTACTCGGGCCTATAAATCCGTAGATTTTGGTCCATAATTGACAACCTTCATCATACTAGAGAAGGTAATATTGAAGCTTGAGGTAACAAAAGAGGTTACTTATGTTACTAATACATCAACACCTTGCTTAATATCCATTGGCAGTCTGTCCAATACGAGGAAACAGGTTAAAGAGAGGTTTTCAAAGTTATTTCGTCTACTGCCCAGATTGAAAATGCCCTTATGACATGTTTTTACTGCCCTTCTCCCCTCCTGGTAGATGCCCAGCTCCAACAAGGGAACGCTATCGCCACTTTGAGAAACACTGGGCTAGACCTACAATGTTGGGTAAATTAAGAAAAAAAGATGGGTAACATAAATACCTTGAAATCAGACAGCGCCTAGCGCCATCTATCACACCAGAATCGACCACTAGCGCATGTAAACAAGTGGACCACAGCTACTTTTCAGCCACAATCGTCAGCCATCTAGCAGTCACTGGGTTATTAAGCGCGAACTGAGGTAGTTCCAACTAATAGCACCTATGCGCTCTGTGCAGTGGTAGATTCTGATGTGATTATTTCGACTGACCATACCTCTGGTTTCGATGGTTTCGTTTATTGTCCAGAGACTAGAGACCATGCTGTAAAAAGCACGAATCAGCTGTCTTTTGGTCGTACGGACGAAAGCATCATGTTTAGTTTATAAATGCGTTGCACAAGCGTTTCTCCATATTTAGAGTTATTTGAATAAAATATTTTTTTATTCATGAATTACTTCATGATCTTGTGTTAGCCATTCAGAGCGTCCCCGGGCAAAAGGGTAACGAACCATCAGAAAAGCCCATCAACAGAATTGCATCCATTTTGTGTCGCGGACGACGGCATGGACACAAAACCGTCCGCTTTATCAGATTAAGCATTATGGTAATATTCGTGGAGCAGGAGGAGAGTGCAATTCGCAATTATTGTCCTTGTCAGCGAAAAGGATTCGGCGGGATGTTAGCGGGTGGTCCTAGGGGATTGCTTGTTGGTGCGAGAGAAATTCAGATGCGAGGGTTTGGGAGACTAATGAAGAATAGAATGGCGGCGAGTAAGTTCGCCTAGGACAGATTGGCAATCTGACAGAATCATAGTTCAACCATACAAATCCATTCTGGACTATCAAATGCTGTGCTCCCAAAAAAATTGAAAATTTTGATATCTGTTGACTGAGTATTTCTTACAGTATTACTAAAGCTGGTGGTACTAAACCTGCGAACTTATTGCTAATAATGCATTCAGCTTTTTGTTCCGAGAAATTAGATATGAGATGAATGGTGTCGTTGTCGACTCAATCATAAACGTGGGGCTCACCTCAACATTGAAAGGATATCTTTCTCACAATGAGAATGAGAGTGCGATGCTACAAAATGCTGGTTGATTCCCAAAAGAAACGAAGTTTTCTTCTTCAGAATCTGGTATGTTTAATGTTTGTATTTCTCTAAGCATCGAAATTTCATATTGAATATGAAGCAAGAGTTAGTACTAATTCGAAGTCATGATGATGATGATGATGATGCAATTGTTACCACTGATACAGACAAACCCAAAAATACTATTTATATAGTCTGTGCTATTAATAGAATTCTGTGGCTGGTCCCTCATGTGTCCGGCGATATTCCCCATCAACTGGCATTGACAAAACTTGTTTGTATCCCCATTTTCTTTCGCAGCTGGTTGAATACCCCTCCCTCCCTCCCTGAAACAACTAGACATACTTGGCCCTTGAAAACAACTACCAACCTCGAAACACCAGGGCACGTCATTATAGCTTTTCAGACTGATAAGAACAAAGTGCATGTCAATATGTCTACGTTCGATCACTGTCCTATAACCAACATTCGAGTGTTTCAGAACGATTTCCCTATAATGATCTCTATTTGGACTTTCCAAATAAAAATTTGCTGCCTTGTATGATATATTCTCAAAGTTTCGTTATGCATATTATGAAGTTGAAAATGAACCACTCTTTTCCCTTAATGAAAACGTTTAGTTTAATAATGTTTGTGAAAGGAAAAGAGAAAATCAATTATTTAAAACAGCTTTCCTCAATACCAGTCATCGAACTTGCAGAGCATCCTCGTTTAGAATCCGCTACCACAACATGTTTTTATCACCCAAAGACTTTGTGTCCTATTTTATTAAATAAAACAATCATCAGAATTGAGTTTTTTTATTTTTTGAATTGTTGGACGACAATGGTGCAACGGCTATAAACCTAGCAAGCAACTAATGTACAGATTTAAATAATATTATCTTGCATATATATCACATGTTTTACAAACTTATTCAGTGCATTCTCGAATATACAATACGGCTATATCATCTTTCAAATGACTGATCTTATAATCTAAAAATCCACTCATAAAATGTATCGTTTGAAACATAATATAGAATTGTGCACCAAAAAATCAACTACGAGGTAACTTTGCCATTGTTTTCTTACTATATTTTTACAAACTAATCAAGCTTGATTTTACAAAGTCGCAATTGTATTAAAATGAATCAGATACACACTTTACGATTCACACCTCGAACCGTTCTTTGAACACTTTCTGTCTATATTCCACTGTCAAGTAGCTTTTCAACATTTCCTCGACTAGCAGCAATCGTTGGTGAAATCTGCATCGAACTACAACCTCCGTCTCCCAGGTACTTTGTCTTGCCACGCATACATTGTTGTTTTCTTCATTGAATGTCACCGTGTTCTTCATCTTACTTTCTCTCAATTTGAGAGTCCTGCCTCACCATTTATAATGCTGTAATACCACTCTACCGTCCTAGTTCCATTTGATGTGGTCACTCATAATAAATGTATTTATTCTTCTTGGTGGAATACTCATTGGTCGCCACAACGTTTTCTCCTTCCGCAAATGCTCCTGAATTTTTTCTGGTAAAAGGAAAGTATTTTATTGAATAGATCCGTATTCCCGTCTAGATCATTTAATTTCCTCCATTAATTGCACTTCACTAATTCTTCCCAAGGAAAAGTTTTGCAATCTGTTAGCTTTCATCAAGCAGTACCCCTTCAGGATTGATCCATATCTGACCTATGGTTTAATATCAAAATGTCCCGTTCTAACACGGATTATACTAATAGAAACGTTGCCTGCAACTCACTCGACATGTTGTATCACTTATTATCACTTCCTTGTATACTCCGCTACACTCAATGTCTGCTAACAACTGAATCCTGTTACATCTCTTCACATATTTAAAGGCCTAAGTCCAAGGTTATCCCCTTTCTACCTCAAGGTCATTTACATCTTCAATTTACCCATTCAAGGCCACATCCCTTCAAGGTTCCACAACATATAAGCCCTATCTACTTTTGCATGTTTTAAGTTTGAAAATTGGGATGCTTTGGATTTGAAGAGTACCGACCATTGGTTTTAATATTGTCAAGAATGGTCTCTTCTTGTCGCAGTTTCCACGATTTATTCGCTCCAAGACGCACAAAGCTTACTTAACGCTAACCTCCACTCTACACTCCTTTATATACCTAGAAAACCCAAGAATTCTACAAACTCCGTGAAACATCAAAAAATCTAAACATACACCAACCGGAAGTTATCTGATAACTAACTGACAAAGCAGCTTACCTACCACTTGACACTACTGACAACATACATAAAATATAACTTAACAGATGAAACAGACCTCAAAAATACCAAAACTGACACGGTTGTGGTTGTTACCTACTGCGTGCTACCGCCACCTGCCGTACTATATAAAGTGTTACAATATTTTAACGATGATAAAGTATTTGTTAGCGCTCCAAATGTGAGATTGTAGGTATAAAAACTTAATTCCAGCGTCGGACCCAGAAACACTGTGCTACTTGTGAGCTTTTTTCTCGCTTTGTGATTAAATGTGTGTCAGACAAATTTTCTGCATGCTTTTTCAAACTTGTAGATGGTAGCCTCAAACATTTTCAACTTGTTTTTAGAGGTGTACTGGTCATTTCGTATCATGTGGAGAGAAATACACAAATATTTAGATCTTTTGTGATAGGTCACAATATATGCAGGAAGAACCGCTACTTTGCCTCCAAAAAAAACAGGAAAATGAGTCATTGTCAATTGTCCTAGTGACGCAGTTGTTTATTTTTTATTAATAAAGACACCGAAAAATACACGTAAGTACTTTTCCCGCTGCAAAAGTAAAATTTTATCTACTATCTTCGGAAAGTCACGCTTATGTTATTTTATTTTCAAGCTCTTTAAGGAGTTAACGTTTTTTAACTATTTTCTAAAAAGGTCCAAAGTTTTCACTTCAAGTTGAGAATATGAATCTAAATGTAAATTCCCTCAAATAAGCACGAAAAAGCTTCCTTTTTTGTTACCCACCACTCCGAACTTCTAGAAAAACTCATGGAAATAAAACTAAGATGTTCATCCCTACAAATGTCTAATTGGAAATGGAATGCTTAATTATTTTTTCACGTAATATGTTAAATATTTACAATTTCGAAAACACAAAATCATGATAGTCGAACATGCCTAATAATCTGTGGTAGGGACGTTACCAATGTTGATTAGTGATTTGTGTGTGAAGGTCCGTTTCGAGTAAGTAAAATAACAAATCAGCGACCCATCATTCATAATTTTTGGTCATTCTATTCACAATTTTTTATGAATATTTTTTCCATTTTTCGATAGAACGTAGCAAATACTTTTCTGAACATTCTGATTTCACTATTATCCATGTTTTGTACGTCAATCTCAGAATTATTAAATTATTATATCCTTCTTGATATTCCTGACTACGCCACCAATGCAAATTCCTCATTCAACTCGTCATCAAATCCACCGCTCCACAAGTTCAAATCGTTTCAACTTAATAGCATTATGAGTCGATTCTTACCAATGGCTGACACTCGCAGATAATTCGCCGTTACGAACAAGGAGCAGCAATCATTAATATCGCTTCAAATCGTGTTAGTGCCCTCTATGTGCTCTCTCTTGAGCAAGCAAAAGTTCCGCGACATTTTCATCTGCATACACTTCAAGGATAATGAAATGGTTAATCCTTTAGCTTTTGAAAATCGACCCTTAGTGAAGATTTCATTTTTATTCAGTGAATCGTATGAAATAAATCTTGTGATCCATAGATTTCCAATAGGTGGTACAAAGAATTTTATCTCACAACCGGCCGTATTTGGTCAGTTCTTTAAGTGTCCACAGGCCGGAACCCTAAAAAAAAAAGAGAAAACCAGCGTTTCGGAACGGAAAATGACTAAAAGTAGGTAGTTTGGAGGAAAATGAAAATAGTCCATCCCTATGTTGGGGAAGGCATTCAGGTCCCAGGATACACCAAATATCTATGGTGTAAAATGAATCCTTGAATACCCTGAATTTCTTGAATGTACATACGTACATAGGAGTCCACCTGGAATGCTCAAAAAGCGTTTATGACAAGAAGCCCATAGAGTTCTACGTTGGTTCATCCAATGGGTCATTATTAATGAATTAGAGATTATGGAGACGAACCCTTACGATATTAAAATTATTTTGATTTTTGAGTCCTCCCTGACTGCGTAGTAAAACTAACCTATTGGAATATCCGCAATAGCACAACTACGTTCCAAAGACGTTCTCGGAATCAACGCGTACGACCTAGGAGACGTTCCCGGTAGGTCGAATAAAGTCTTTAGACGTTTGACGGTCGTCCCTGGCAGCAATCCTATCGCAAAAAAATCGCTTCCAGGGAGGTCGCTGCTAGACGTTCCATAAACTAATGAAATGGTCCTCCCAGGGCCGGATGCTTGAGGGGAAAAGGGTAATAAGAATGTAAAATTTGATAAAAATTATTATTTTAGAGTCATATTTTTGGAACATTTTATTATTCTCATTATAAATGAAATACAATTTCAAGGCAATATTAACCAGACCAAAAATATGTGTATCAACTTCACGATACCTGCAAGCTGAAAAAAAATTCTAATCAACTATGACACATATACAAATTCAAGAGAAGCTATTGTAACAAAAATGATCTGAACTTGATTCGTGTAAACTCTGATTATGGCTGCTTCTCATACGTTTATAGCGCGAGCCTAACTTGTACAATCATATTTTTCTCGAACACACTCTATTTTTTTACCTGTTATAGCAGATTAAACCAAGCTATAACAACAAGGGCAAACTTATGCATTAAAAATCGCCAGCGCTCAAAAGGACCGTTAAACAAAATTATGCTTATCGTGAATTATAAGAACTTGCAAGAATTAACTAAATTCAACAGAACAGCAACAATCCAAAACGTTAGAGAGATCCGAAAAAAATATAGCGGTCACGGCACAAGGCATATCTCACATTTCACGATCTGTGTACTTCTGAGCATTATCCGCAGGCATTTGCGCATGGCAGAAGAATCCTACTTATCAGTCATTATCAAAAATTACCTCTTATAAGTGACAATCATTGGTTTAGACTTAAGCAATTGAACCAAGGATCGAAAAGACGTGCATGTATACGTCTTAAGAATGCTTACGACAGAAAGTCAATGGTAAATGATACTTCTGTATTATTGAAAAAAGACGGTGAGCCATGTTTTAGATAACTCTGTTCCAGTTTTTATGATAATAGGAGCTATTGAGCTTTTACAGTCTCCCTTTTGTCGATGTCCTCTAAGGCGACAATCTAAAATTACTGAAATCATAGGCAGTTTTAATGCATGGTACGAGTATGTAGACGAATAGTTTAACCATTTTAATGTAAACCAGAGTATATAAAAAAGATATAAACATATGACATTATATACAACAATAGAATTTCAACCATATCGATTCATATCGCGACTGTAATCTATTTCCTGGAAGGAACTTGTAAAATAGTCTTGCAATAAAGCCCAAGAATGCATCGCCAAGTGCCTCCCCAGGACCAACTGATTGGGATGTTCGAGAGACAACCCCGATGGGACGTCCAATTTGGGGATGGGACCTATAGACCCAAAATTGGACCCAAGTCAGACGTTCCACAAACCAAGTGTGCTATCAGAGATATTGCCAAAATTCTGGCGTCCGTTGCCACCAGTCGCCACGAATTTTTCAGTGTTACATCTCAGAATATCATTCGGTATTGACTAATTTCAATAAAGTAGCCAAGAAATACTTTCAATTAATTTATAAACAAAATATATACATAGGTTTAAAATAACAGACAATAAACAGTGAGGATTTACGGCCATGATTTCCATGGACCTGTAACTATACGTGACTGATAATATATTTTCCAAATTTATGAGGTTAGGATATTTAGAACATGAACAGTTTCATGTATTTCATTTATATCATGTTTTTAGGGCATTTCAATATTATACTTACTTTTTTCGGATGCCCACGGATGTGTTAGCAAAAGTTGATAAAATGGATTTCACTATTTTTTATATTAAAATTGTCAATAAACCACGTTTTCCATTTGGTAGGAACATCAATATATCATTTTCGTACGGCACCTAATGGGGATTGTAATCCCTTGAATTTTTAATCGCACAGGAATTTCAAACTGTAAGAAGCCTGCATAGATAGATACATTTATTGTCTTGTAGATCATAAAATCACATAAGACTCGTCCTTTAGAGGAGGTACATAGCACACATAATTAAAAGTAAAACAAAACAAACATAAGTATTTACAAAGTACGAACAGGAACAATTTAAGGCGTACATTCACATATAAAAAAGTTTTAAAAATATATCACAATGCGAGGTA